TTAATTTTATAATCTTTAGGCAACTTTCCGTCGTAATTTCGTACAATAAGTCAAACTTGGCATTTTTTTGACTGGGCATTTTCCTTTAATATGTTTACAAAAATCGTCACTGAACGGCTGTGTAAAGCCGGAGTCGTAAAATGTAATTTTCACGGTAGATTTTTTTGAAATTTCAGCTGGTGCGGTTCCGGAAATGTTGAAAGTAACGGGTCTATTAGAAACAATAGGATCAGGTGAAATTGTTATGTCGGGAATCGGTGGAGGATAGTCTAGATGACAATGTCCGAAGTAAGTTGCTCGTTAACGAATCCGTGTGGAATAGCATTAATTGCTGAAATTGTAACCAACACAGCGAATAAGAAAAAAATTGAGCTATTCATAGTTTTTGGTAAGTTTTGTAGATGTTAATCAGTCGATTTGTAGATGTTAACAAGTTGATTTGTAAGTTTCGGTTGATGCAGTCAAAACCATGCCATCTTGCTGTCGTTTTTATAGAGAAATATGTTTCCTAAATAATATTTTGTAATGTCCAAAGTGGAAGTCTAATAAGCCGTTGAAATACTATAACAAGAGAGTTAGCAAGATAGAGAGAATCAGATGCATGGTTATCGCAACCATGTGTTGCTGTTGTTGTCTATTAGAGACTAAAGTTTTGTCTGAGCGCTTGTTCTAAACAAAATTATTTCGTGGATAAATCGCATGAGTCGTTTTGTTTTAGGATATCACTATATGTACGGTAACCTACTTCGGCTGTCTAAAATTAAAATGTCAAAGTTTATTCGAACAAATATCTTATCGAGACGGTTTATTGGAACTTTGTGGTAGCAACGCATGTCATATGAGATGGTCAAATTTACGGTAAAATGTTGTTTAAACTGATCGCTTACATATATGGCAGTCACGTTTCGGAATTTGCACTTAATTTGGCGTAGCCGATCACAAATTAAACGTGTACGCATGCGAAAAAATCTAACGCTTTACAGTTTAGACCCTATGATCGCAAGGTATGTTACCATCCGTGACACAATTTAACGGCGGGGAATCCTTTTTTGGCAACCACGCAATTTCTTTAATTTTGATTTTTATAGTTAAAAATTATCTGTTTCTAACCAAGTAATAAACGCGGGTGTTAATACGATATTCATCCGACAGATAGTTAGTGTGATATGACGATTTGTGTCAGATAAATGTAATGGATGCTACGCTCTATTCAATAAGGTCATATATGTTATTCGGGATATATACTCCCTGGGGAAGTATCCGGACCAAATTTGATATAATAGACTTATATAGATTTTTTGACTTAACGTTTAAAGCGTCAGGTTGTTACATCGAATTTTGCAACACATCTCACAGATTAAATTAGATTATAACAACTATAGCATAATGTCTGAATCAAGCCCAGAATTTCCATATCAGTCTATGGCTTATTGAATGTTATATGTTGTGCATACTTTATTACTTACTTGTAAAAAACATGTAGTGTCCAGTTATGAGTATAAATTTAAAATGTTGAGAGATTACACTTTGTATCAAAGTAGTTATTACCATACCCGTTTTGGGATTATGCTTATTATGAAAGAAGGGCAGCTTTCGAGTTGCGCAAATTTAATGCGTTGACAGCATGTAAAAAAAAGAGAAACGATCAGGATTGTGAAACAATAACACACAGGAAGGTATGTTAAATTACTTCATAATTATTTGTTATTATTTAGACACAACAATGGCGACATCAAATTCGTACACCCACCACAGTATACGATGACTTACATTTCTAGGTGTAATACTGTATATATGTTCCGTACATTTCAGGGATAGTTAATCTGGGGTCGCATGGTTTTGCGTACGCTTCCAGGTACAAGAAATTATATACACGCTCACTGCATGCTTTTTTAAAGTTAAATAATAGTATACTAACAAAAGTGCGTGCAACATACAGTATCCAATGACTTGCCACAAGTACAAGCAAAACTGAAGCGGATATTTGAAGTAGATTTATACGCTTATACTGTGTTTTACTTTAACTTAACTATGGAGGAAAGTATCTCTATAATTTTCATCTTATGCACACAAATTTGATGTATTATATCGCACTTGCGTAAATTTTGTCTGAATTTTTTTTTACACAACCTCGGTGAATAGAATATCCATTACACCATATCACAACTGATTATCTATCGAATAAATCCTGGTTTAGTATTAGTCACTTGCCTAGGAACAGATAACTTTGACTATCAAATTATATTTTTTCCTTACATGGATGTCAAAATGTAACCCTAATTACATTTACAAAGGAAGACAGGCAGCCGTTAAATTGCAAATCACAAATAAAGACTACATAATCCTTTGTGATTATGCTCTAACTGTAAAACCCTTAATTACCATGGTATATTACATAATACCATGCAATATAAAATCTTTTATAAAAAGTCTTCGTTACTGCGATTGTTAGATAACCCTAAAGTCAGTATCTACATTTGACTTGTGATCGACTATGCCCAAATTAAGTGCAAAGTCCGAAAATGTTGTACTACTTTTTAAGTAAAAGGAATGGGTCAAAGCTGTGAGTTAATATAATGTCTTAATGTGATAGGTATTGACATTTATTTGTTCGAGTAAACTTTGACATTTTAATTTTAGACAGCCGAAGTAGATTCCCGTAACGACATAGTGATACTAATATCCTAAAGCAAAAACGACCCATGCAATTCATCTACAAACTAATTTTGTTTAGAACAAGCGCTCAGACAAAAACTTGGTCTCTAATAAATAATGACAGCAACACATGGTTACAGGAAGCACGCATTTAATTTTCTCTATCCTGTTAATTTTTCTTGTTATAGTTATTTCAATTGCTTATTAGACTTCCAGTTGAATATTACAAAATATTGTTGAAGAAACATATTTCTTTATGCGATGGCAAGATGACATAGTTTTGACTGCATCAACCAAAAACTTACAAATCAACTGCTTAACAGCCACAAAACTCATAAATCGGCTGATTAGCCTCTACAAAAACTTACCAAAAACTATGAATTGCTCGATTTTTTTCTTATTCTCTGTGTTGGTTATAATTTCAGCAATCAATGCTATTCCGTATGAATTCATTGAACCTGAACCAGTTACTTACTTCGGACCTTGTCATCTAGACGCTGTTCCATCGCATCTCAACGTAACAATTTTAACTGATCCCATTGTCTCTAATAAACCCGACCGTGGAAATCAAATTTGTCGGCCTCGACTTTACACAGACGTTCAGTGACAGTTTTTGTAAACATACTAAAGAAAAATGCTCAGTCAAAAAATATACCAAGTTTGACTTGAACGAAATTACGCCGAAAAATTTGCCTAAGGCATATGGAACTAAAATCAACATATTGGATGATAAAAATAGCACACTTATGTGCGCTTTGAGCCTATTCTTTTGGCTGGTATTTAATGAGCAATTTCAAAGACGTATTTTATTTATCTGCTGCTATGCCTAATTTAGCATATTAAAAAAGACGTACTTGTTTTAATATTTTTAACCGACTTTACTATAATCTTAACGTGTGTTTGTCAAAATATACATTTTAAACGTATTGTGTTAGGTTAGTTGTGATTGTAGTGGGTATTAATATTTTAATTTAATTTTTTTTATTAGTAGTTTACTTTCCTGTTATACATGTTGTGTGTCGGTTTGGAATTTATGTCCATTCCGAATGGACATATGTCGGATTGTCAGACTAGAATCATAAAGACAATCAAGTAACAGCATCATTACAATATTAACTCTACTACATATTAACATATGATAAAAGAACGATGTACTAATTAACTTACTGCATTGACGATTATGAGGGTGGCAGTTTAAGTTACAATGACAGCAGCTTTGCGACAAGCACATCGAGCCGTTGAACAACTAGTCTTACAACTACATCTAATCTTGTTTGAATTGACAAAACTTTGAGCCGAAGGGGCTTTATTATTTTGACAGAATGCTTCGAGTTACAGAATGCGTTAAGTTAGTAATTGTCTTTCTACTTGTAGACAAATACAATTGTGAGCAAACATCGCCTGATCTGACATATTGTGAAAGAATGTTTTCAGTTACAGAATACGTTTAGCAAATAGTCCTTCTATTGGTGGTACGGAGATGTAAATACAATTGTGAATAAACACCGCCTGACATATTATTGTGAAAGAATGCTTTGAGTTGCAAAGTACGATAGCGAATAGTTCTTCTATTGGTGCGGGGATGCAAATAAGTAAACATATCATTATTGAATTGAAAAACAAGAGTATTAAAATGGCGTAATATGCAAATACGTTTTGATTTGTGTGGAGATATTAATATCGCCTGACTGACATTACCATTGTGAAAGAATGATTTGAGTTACTGAATACGGTAGTAAAATTTTCCCATTCGGTGGATGATATTCAAGACTTAACCATCTAGGTTTAAGCTTAAGCAGTGCGACACACACCTGCGTCAACCAAATTTGGGCTAAAATACAGACAGATCGTGTGAAAATTAACGACTCTGCGCTTTTCGATTTAGTGGTAGCTACTACCAACCCTTGCAGAGGATTTGGTTTAAGCGATAAACAGAATGGTAGAACAGCAATGTACTGTTCACTATCGCCATTGCTATTATGCATTTTTATTGCTTGATGAGTTGAGTTATCAAACAAGTTTGTGCTAATCACACAATTTGACGACTGGTGTGTGGTTTTTGACGAAGGATTCAACCATACGACTTGTGGTTTCTGTCTGTATGTGCACAATTTGTCGAATAATTTGATAATCAATACTATTGTAAACGATTACTTTTTAAAATAGGCAAGTGACGTTTACCCTGACTAGTTGACATACCAAAGAAAGATCACCCTATTTTAAATTAGAAGAAGCATGGTACTTGTGGCAGATTAAAACGACATCAGATTAAAATGACTCGGGGGCCTTTCTGACCTACTTTAACGCGAATAAAACTGGCTTTTTTCTCCATTGACGCTTCACATCTATGGTAAGTTGAATTCTTGCCGTGCTACAAATTGAAGTTCCCACAAATCTAAGTTGAATCCACCAACTGCTGATGCAGGAACACTGGTAGGATCCCCGTCAAAGAGTTCTATTGCTGGAATGTTCATTTGGTAAGCTGGAATACCAGCCCTTGCGCAAGGAGGGAAAGGATTATTATTACATCAGAAAGTCCAACACCAGTGAAGAGGTGAGGAGGAACACCCATAATATTGTAGACGTAGTCCTTATGAGAATGTGAAGGTGGTGCCGTCCCAAAAGACCTGATGTCGACTGGAATCAGTAGTGTCGGACTCGTACGAAGGTACAGGGTGACGATTATCGCGATAGTATTATCTCTACGAGGCTCATTAACTTAACAGCCAGCACAATCTGAATTGTGGTTCGAGGATTAAAGTAGAGTGCTACCTTTCGATGCAGGTCAGGGAGGGTTTGCATGTGACCGACTTCAATTACCATGGTTGGGTACGCCGTTCCACGTCTATCCATTGCTTGTGCGGGGGGAAGCCGAGGATGCCGTACCGGTCGGACCATCGAATCAGGCTCCTTCGCAGTGTTTAGGCCCAGAATCATGGTCGCATCATCGAAATACGCCAAGTCCTGATAGTTCCACTTACCCATCAATATCTTGATTGTTGCTGATACCCTTGCGTGGATCACTGTAGGTATTTCGTTAGATATATGCGAACCGGGAGTCGTATTGGTAGTACAAGGATGATGGTTCAAATTTTCGCTGGTACAAGTTATGTGCGGTATGCAAATGATGTGTATGAACCATTTTCTTTCATATTGAATACTCTAGCCGTCTTCAATTTCTTACCGAAACACTGTTCTTTTCTTAGGGAGATGCTTTCCGTGAAATCAGACTCCGCATTGTTGAGGTCATCCTTTTCCGAACGCTAGGCGGTGGAACAACTCTGTCTAATCAATATCTTAAAGCCAAGACTGCCAGTCAAACTAAACTTGCGGGGCAGACGTATGGAGACTACGGGTTTCCAGTAACTGAAGTAGTTGTCGACGCGAAAGAATTTTGAAAGAACAGGAGAATTGAATCGTATTGTTAGAAATTCTGGCGAAAACAATGAGGATAGCATTCCTGCTACTGACGACCAGCACGAATATTGTAAGCATATAGATCAAGAGAGTTTGGATCATTCATTGTTTTGCCCACTCATTTTGATGTATTTTCTAGTGACTGGTAACATTTCAGCTATCGGCAAAACGTTATATCATGGACATTCTCTTTTCAATTCGAGCGATGATATATCAAGTGGAAGACGTTTTGGCTTTATTCTTAATCAAACAAACTTTTATGCCGAAGCTGATGATATTGGGTCAATTATCATTAGTGGTCGGATTGAATCCGTAGCTAAGTATACGGTAGTAGATTAACGTATTTATGTAGACATTACATCGGAATATCTTACCGAGATCTTCTATTTTTCGAAAGGTGCTGCACTCATATTTTGCCAAAAAACGTTTAGACATTTAAGACTTGTAGAGAAATATTAATAGTTGTGTGCAGGTGGAGACAATCAACTCTACTCAGTCAATAAATGTTGTTGTAAGCTTGTCATAGAACATAACGTAAATCTGCTGTGTTTTTCATCAGATATTTGCAATTTGATCTTGCGTAATATACTTATCACTCTTTTCTTCTGGGCGGCATTTATTTCGCGAACAATTATTACAATTATTCATTTCACCGACAATTTTCCAACATTATTTTTTTTCAACGGGTTTGTCGGTAAAATTACTGTAGTGAATCATTTATTTATCCCACACTGCAACAACAACTAAATTCTAACGAGGTTTGTGCCTCGACCAGGTGTAAACGACTTGCTAGGTATTATCCTTCGTAGTTATTCTTATTTCGATGATATTTATTGCTAAAATAAAGTTTTCAGTAACTCGCAGACAAATTTTTCTACCAAACATTCAGCAGATTACTTCACGTCTGTGTCGGATTTTATTGTCAAGTATCAGTAGTTTACGTTATTGATTATTGTTGTAGCATTAGAAATCATAATAAAAGTGCCAGTTAAAATTTTTCAATCGTAGTTTATTGTTTGTTTTGTTAGTGTTTATTCTACCATTGCGTTGGGGTTTTTCGACCAATTCCCATACACGAGAGGCATCTCTTTATGAAAGAAAAGTCCCTTTTTGGTTTATAACACAGCGAATAATTCAATTCATATCTTACAAACCAGCTTTTACCTGTTGCCCCGATTGTTCGACTAAAAGTATAAGAGTGCTAATTATGTTATTAGCATTTGAAACTATCAGTCGTCCAGAAATGTCAACTTGAGCCATTCTCGCAAACTACTGAAATAGAGCCAACTCAAATTGATAACGTTTATTATGCTCGTAACTATGCGCTGACATGCCTTGGGAACAGCAAGAATGCACACCGACAGCTGTGAATGAGTTTGCAAGAATATAATCGCTTCCGATCGAAGAATACGATAATTTAGACGATATAAGAAATGGCTTTATTCTCGCAGCTCGTTGATACAGATTTATGACAACAATTATTGCATGGTCGCTAACCAATGCTTTTACCAATGTTATTCGGATGTAGCCCAGTTGTGGACATAAACAATTGTCCAATGGATGGACTATCGTTGGGCCGAAGTACATTAACATATCAATCTACCCGATACGGAGATCTGATTTCCAGACCAATCACATTTCGATTTATTATTATGTGAAGCAAATGGAGTTTTGCGTCAATTTGAGTGCTTACACTTATTGTTAAACAATGTCCCAGGTTAATATCAAAGTATCAGAGACAGATGCGCTTGAATTGAGAAATAGTGGGGCAGATTATTTGATGCTTGATCAATATGAAATTGCTTTGAAGTATTTTATTAAATCTTTGAAATATGAACAATATAATACTAATACCTTGAGTATTAGATTAGTGAGAATTTTAGGTACAATTTCGGTGTATTTTTGAAAACACTATTCATTCTCTAGCTTTCCGAGATTTTTACTGCATGCCTGGTAAACTTATATATATTATATGAATGGTGTATTTTTCTATAGTATAACCTTAGTGTAATTTTGATATCTGATTTGATTACTATTTAGCTTTCTGTCACTGTAGAGCATACACCTTAGGGGTGTGCGATACAGATGCGGAGCGTAGCGGAGCATAGATATCTGATTTGATTGCTAATTAGTATTCTATCGTTAAAATAAATGACGATTTATTTTCGTTTGGTGTATTTTTTTTGTATAGCTATTTGACATTTTTTCGCTTTGGAATATATCAGATAACATTTTAACTTTCTTGTCTAGTTTAAGTCTCCGAAATCCATTATTGCTAACTGTATGAGGGTGCTTTGCACCCGAAAATGCGAAGCAAAGCGGAGCATCTAGTTAGCATATTGCTTTCTTGTCTAGTTCGAGTCTCCGAAAACCATTCCGATCAGCCTGTCGTCATTTTAAATGTGTATCATATTTGATTATCTAAAGATTGGTATTTAATATAATAAAAAATGTCTGGTGAATGTACTTGTCTATTCCCTCATAATCCCGATGAAATTTGTGAAAACACTTATACAATACCTGAGGAATGTAGTCATTGGAAAGGTGAAGGAATAATACCATGTATTAAATGTGGAATACCACTTGTTTCAACCCCTGGTCGAAGTCCATTGCATATTAGGAAACAC